CCCCCCCCCCCCCCCCCCCCCCTTACAGACCATAGGAAGCAAAAAGATTATTACATACACATACCCCCGCCTCATTACAGACTGCAACAACCGTATTCATCAAATAGTCGATGGTGGAGAAAAATAACTTCAAATTAAAAAACAAAAAAAAAGATTATTATCGAGTATATAGCAATAATTATAAATGAAATCGAGCGCGCTTAAATGAAAAAACAATATTTTCTTTTTTTAATATATATTTTTAATATACAAATAAATAATAAATTCTCGCTCTTTTCATCGATTCTCAAGCAAAACAACTATAGTTGACGAGTAGTCTTTCAGTATACAGATGATGCGTCAGGTAACAAAGCTAAAGGTATACGTGAGTTCCACATTTCAGCTCCGCAGGAGCTGCGCTAACAAGCTTTTTTTAGCTATAATTAACTAGATGTGCTTTTCCAGAAAGTCAGAGTGATTTTTCGAAATCCTCATAGGGATTTTCACGGTTTTAAGAATTGAGGGCAAGGTTGTCAGACCTTTCGATTTAACAGGGAAAATTCCGCTTTTTGGAATTTATTCTGTCGACTTTCCGATGTTCCGATTTTTTTCTGATTTTAAGCGCATTTTTCGATCACCTTCCAGTTTTCTAATTTTTCTCCAGCTTGTGGATTTCTTTTCTAAATTCAAGTTCTTAGAATATTCTAGAAACATTTAACTATGACTTGCTATTGCCTATATATTGTGATCTACTTTAATGTAACTGTTCGGTGCTGCAGCATTATGGATTCAACAAAACACACTTCAGGGCTCTAAAAATTCACCTTTAAAAAAATTAGGATATTTTACAAACAACAAATATTTAGTTTTCTGACGCGATGAGCTAAATTTCTGTATACCAATAATTAATAATATTTTTCTTTTTGAGTTTTTGTGTTTCATTGCAAACATAATAAAACTGATCTAATTATGTGAGGTACTGAATTGATTGTTGCCGAAATGAAAATCAGAATGAGTTCCGTTTACTCCTGTGGACGTTTTTCTGAATATCTATTTTTTTATCAATCTGGTATCTTCAAGAACATTCGAGCGAATAAGGAAATATCAACAAAAACGGACGTTATAAAGAATAAATTTTGGTTTCTTTTGTACAAGTTTTGTGAAAATCATGTGTATGAATTTTCAATTTTGATTCTTTTCTTCCATCAAGTTGTTCAGAAGATTTTTGAAAAAAACAATGTAACCTTGTTTAAATGAGTTGTGTGAAGTTCTTAATCATTAGTTAATTATGTATATAAATTTATATTTTCTTTAATTCTTTATGAAATATCTTTTAAGATATTGTTTCGAAAAATCAATACAAGCAAAATAAATGATACTGCCTATTGAGAAAAAACAGACGAGTTATCTAAGCATTAAAAAAGTACTTTCTGATTTTTCCGATTTTGAGAATAAAAATTTGAATGTTCCTCCAATTTCAAGAAAAAATTTCCGATTTTTAAATGTTTGATCTGGCAACCGTGGTTGAGAGATACATTTCGACTAATTTTCTAAAGATTTCCAGAATAAAAACTTAAAAGCTTTGCAATTCTGGACGGAAATTCCCTAATGAAAGTTTCTATTATCAAAAAATAATTAAGGTGGAGGGGGTCTTCTAATACACTCGATGAACTTTTTGTCCAGGGGGGTCTTCTATTATAGGGGGGTCTACTAATATGGGGGGGTCTTCTAATATGGGGAGGGGTTTATATGCTTTATGGAATCGTGGCATTGATGGAAATTTAAAAACATACTAGTGTAAATTTTCGTTGAATTTAGATAACTATTATTACCAATTTATTCGAGAAAAAAAATATCGTTAAGAAATACAAAGTTATGCTATCGGCAATAATCTTGCGATTAGACAATTGATGAATTCGATGTTAAAACAATATCTATTAAGTGAGAAGATAACTTTTTTATCATCTCAAAATAATGTAATACACTTCTCAGTGTGGCAATGAAAGCATGCTGTCGAAAATTAATGGCTCTTACTTTAGTCAAAGTCTTCAACATTTGCCTAACGATGTAATAGATGATGAAACTCAAATGAATACTTAAATGGCTGAAACCGGCTTCGATGGTAATAAAAATTATTTTGGACGTTTTGTTTTCATTACTAATTTCTTTTGAATTTTTTTCCTGTAAGATAATAGAGAAGATTCACAACGGCTCATTATTCGTGAAATATTTCAACTATTGGATTCAGTCGATGGTGTGGTAACATTAAAATCAGCGATGTATCCTCGTAAAAGAAAGTAGATATAACTTTTAATATGTACTTGTATTAGAATTTTATTGCTGTTGGTTTCTGTTTGCAAGGCTTTTTTTCATATTGTTATGTCTATGTCATTATAATTTTAAACATTGATTATCTACCATCAACTCTAAATAAGCATAATATGAAAAGAACTCTAAGAAATTTGCCATGTTTTCCTCCGAAAAAGCATGAACTAAACCAAATTTCGTAAAACTTCTTCTAGTCGATGTACCACGTAGGTGAAAAGTTCCACTATTGGACTCAAGCCATTCTCAACTCTGCTACCTTTACGTTTTAATATTGGGTTATTCCTCTTTTCGATCTCTAGATTCATGTTTTGGTTTTCGTCAACTGTCTCAAAAAGATGGTAAAAAACTCTATTTAGAGCAATGGCAATCATTAGTAGTTTATAAGTTTTATAAACGAATTTCTACTCTTATACAACATTTGCAAGTCGATATGTTTATGAATGTTTTATATCTTATATCAACAAACAATACCATTTTTTTGATAAGTTTTCAATAATTCTGTGAGAAAGTCATTAATCCGCTGAAAAGGTTTCTTCGTGAGCTAAGATCGAAATATTTTATATGAAATGCATTGCATTGAGTAAATTAAAATATGCACGAATCGTCTCTAATCTTTGCCGTACATTTAATAGTAACAGTTGAACCGATTGATCTTGCTATTTTATGATTTTCTCTAGAATGAAAGAATTGCTCTGCTTTTGCTTAGTCCCTGAGGAAAAAGACAAAAATATTCTCGAATAACGAATATAAAGTGATAAGCAAGAATAATTGGAGTTGTCAGACGAAAACTTTTTATATAATTAGTCATAGAGCGCTCATCTCTAAGAGCCTTTTGAAACTAGGAGGATTACCCTAGAGCAATTACTGAATTCAGGGTACCCATGTACTGAGTATGTTTCAGCGAGGTACCCGATGTAGGTACTTTTGAAACTTGTCAGTAATTTAACTTTCGCAGGTACTTACTCAGGTACCTATTACAGTATACGTACTGAACAAGAACTGACGTGGGTACTTAGCTCAGTAAATTTACTGACGAACGTCTAGCAGGGTACCTAATTTTTATGTTTTTTTAGTAATGCATTATACAGAAAAAAAGGCATTACTGCACATCAGAAAAAAAAGGATTTTTATAAATTTAATTTTTTCTAGTAAGATTTTTACTGTCTGTCGAAAAGTTATTTCTGAGTTTTTTTAAAGCGACATTCAATAAGTTGAGGTCGAGATTAAACGTAATGGCGATTGGTGCATTTATCTAGAAAAGACGGCCGTTGTGTGCAATTAGCGAAGTAATTGATACTTGATCTAAATATGTACTGTATACAAGAAGGAAGGGATTTCAAATTCAATAGTAAATGCATGAATATCAATGTGATTATATTGTGTAAGAGAATAGAATAATTCACCACCTTACTTTGGACAAATATATTTGTTAATAATAAATTGTATGAAATTCTAAATTAAATGGCAAAATGAAGATCACAATTATTAATAATCCATTATTGATGTGATTCTTTTTTTTATTTCTTATTATATTCTTTTTTTTATTTCTTATTATATTCTTTTAGTGAATATTCTGATCAATGAATCATACTTGTTTTATTATGTTAATTATTATGGTATTTTTTAGATGTCTCGTGGTTTTTTTTCCAAAAATGCTGCTGAAAGACAAAGAAAAAAGCGCACTTTAGAGCGAGAAAAAATGATTGCTGCTGCTATTGAAAGCAGTGATGATGACATGCCCAATAACTCAATGGACGTCTTTACATCAAATTTATCATCGACTAATCATACATCATTACTTGCTTTATATCAAATCGACGACGCCAGTCCACAACAATCAAAGAATACTGCTGATTCTTCATCATCATATGAAGACGATGATGATGATCTGGAAGAACTACGTCGCATGACCGATATTAATTATCTACGTAAAATTTATAATAGTGGTTCTTTATCATTATACGATGCTTGTCAAATAACTATTAGATTGGCCCGTCGATTAAATCTAGACAAAAAAAAGACAAATATATTATTAAAGGGCATGCATTCTTTATTGCCACAAGATAACAAATTGCCCAAGACAACATTAGGATTGATGAAGATTCTTGGTTAGTATTCTTTATTTGTTTCATATAGAATTATCTTTAGTTATACCAACTTTGCTAAAATTGTTGGAACCTTTTCGTTACACACATATTTCGGCTTAGATAAAACCATAAAACCTTGTTTTTTCTCAGAAGATGCATCGTGAAGAGTTCTATAGAAGTTGTAAGATGAAATCACTATTGGCTTGTGGTACTGTTCTTTCTTCAATACTAAACATGATTACTCTACACGATAATGCTACTTTCCATCTCATTGTATTTAATAAAAAAATTTCTAAGACTTCTTTATTTTGGACATATCTCAGATGGCAAATAATAATAAACTCTCGAAGTTTTCTAATCAGATTATAGAAACCGTATAAAAAGATGCCTATTCATCTGTTCTGATACTTTTCGGAACCAAACTGAATAATTATTATAAGTGTCACTGCTCATCACCAACAGCAGTATAAAAATATTTGAAAATCTTTTTTGATATATCCTCACAGTTAGATGGAAAGCCTTTAATTGCTCTTTCAGAAAAGCGTCCTGAAAAGCTTCTCAGGCATTGTAATATCTAATTCCCAGTGCAAAACAACATCTCCAAAACATTTTTTTAATACGCATAATACAGAAGGCAACAATGATCTTCAGTAGATTTTTTATTTTGAATATAGAAAAAGAAGTTACAAGTCATTTTTGATTCGATACTAAGGTTTTACAAAAACTTTCACGATGCTTCTTCTGAAAGGAACTTGATATTTTATAATTTACCTAAGGCGGACTGTATGTGTAGTAACAATCCTGCAAACATTTTATCATACTCAATATCTGATTTAGGTATTAATTATAAAAAAAAAGTAATCTATTATTGTGCTGAATGTCTTGCTCATCTGGAAACGCCTCAGCAAACAACATGTTCATCTAATTGCCCTTTAAATAATAATTATCGTCCATTTTCAAAAGTCAGTGAATTAACAATTAACGATGTTAAATGTGAAATCCGTAGCACCATAGAAAGATATGCTAATGTAATTAATGATTATCGAAACCGATCAAAAGTATTATTACCTTGCGATGTACCAAATGCTTATGTATATCAAACAATATCTTCTACTACATCTATCAAAAGCAACCAAAATCAAGTTACAGTTATGCTCCACACTGATGGAGTACCAGTTACTAAAATCAGAGGTAAATCTTTGTGGCCTATTCAAGCTACTTTGTGCGAAATTCCACCACCACTTCGAGATCATAAACAAGCTATAATGATATTTGGAGCTTGGCTCGGAATTCATCATCCTGACAGAAATCTTTTATGGAAAAATGTAGTTAATCAAATTCAACAACTATTTCAAGATGAAATTATAGTTACCATCAATAAACAGCAACTTAAGTATATTGTAAGAATTCAATTAATAACATTTGATCTTCCAGCACTAGCATCTAATTGCAACATCATACAATACAATGGATACAATGCTTGTCCTTATTGTCAAATAGCAGGTAAAGCAGTCGATAAACAAGTTATGTATCCACATTCACCAACTCCATGTCCACCCAAAACAATTGATGATTATCGACGATATGGTACATTAAATTCTTCGTCTACTATAACTATGGGCATTAAGGGCTCTACGCCATTAACCGATATACTTTTATTTCCAATTCAAGTTGCTGTAGATTATATGCATTTAACTTGTAGTGGCCACGTGAAAACTTTGATTGGATACTGGCACAAGATGTTACTGCCGAAGGTATTTGAAGAAGCATCAGTTTATTTATCATCCATTACATTGCCACATAATTTTAATCATCAATTCATGCCATTAGTTGATTATCAAAATTGGAAAACCAAACTATTCCGGTACGCCACAATTTTTTATTTCTTATTGCGAATTATAAACAATTTTTACTTTTAGAGATTTTTTCTTGTATGTTTCGCCTTTGTTTAGTATTTTATTTCTACCAGATAGGTATGCATTACATTTTCTTTACTATTTTATTTATGTTCGTACACTATATCATTATGAAAAAATATCAGAATTAGAAAACATAGATTTATTATTTGACGAGTATTACAAAAATTTATCAAAATTATATGGCGAAAAATCTGAATTACTCACTGTACATCTACATGCACATTTAAAAGAACAGGTAGTGCATCATGGTGCTTTATCGATGACTTCATGCTTTCCACGTGAATCATATTTGGGATTAGCATTAACCATGTGCTATGGTAAGAAATATGTGTTAGCACAATATATTTCATGGCATTTGATTGAGCGTTCTTTATACGACAAGAATACCATCGAAGTAAATGATGTTTTTATTACTGAACGGTTTTATGATCGTTATTTGGATATACAAATGATTACAAGATATAAAGCAAAATTGATTGCATGTTTGAAACGACAAAATATAATATTGGATGAAAATTTTCAAATCCAATATTACGCTCGATATTGTCGTGGTTTTAAAAGTTATCATTCAAAAGTTTATTTACGTGCCGGAAGAGCAATTAGTCACAGAGTATCTATTGCTAATCCCAAATGTATGCACACAAGAAAAAGATGTTTCGCCGATGTCATATTTTATTTTAAATTATCCAATGTATACTATGCTTTTATTAGAAAATATCCATGTATTAATCTTAGTTTAGGATCTGGCATCACAACAACTGCTGTTCCACAAAATATTCTTAATCGACTTGATCTTTATTACGGTTTATTTAATATAAAAAAAAGTTCTTTTAAAGTAGTGCGAGTAGTCGATATCATAAACAAAGTAATCAGAATGAGTTGGAACGAAGAAAATATTTTTGTATTTACTGATGTTGTTGTGGATTGGGAACACGACTGAGTTAAAAGTTTCTGTATTTTTAACAGTATTGTTTCATTCTATGTTTATTTGATGATACAGTCGATAATATCGTGAAATACATATTTTTATTAATAGAAACATGAATGTCTTTAATATTACATTTATTCACTATATCATTATATTGTTTATTTTGAATTTTCTACTTCAGATTTTGTTTTATAAACTCATATTTATTTTGTCATGAGTCGTTGTTCGTCTCGGTCAACTGCTGGTGTAAACCATCGTTACTCAACAAAAGAATATGTATTGGCATCATTTATGAAGGGTAAAAAGCATGCGGTAGTACCTATGACGGCTATTAATATCAATCCCATAAACATGGGAAAAGGTGAGATAAAGATTTGTGGTGATACACAACCATTAACCATAGTATCAAAAGGTTGGTTCATTTTATCTTTTTAATGAAGCATCCATTCTAAATAAAACGATTTTAGGTACAAAAGCACAAATGCATATGGATAAAACTAAATTTGCACGTCAAACTGGTAGTGAAGAGATAGATTTAGGGAATTTTTTTGATAGTGAAGATGAAAAGGAAAACGAAGAATCAGATTTAGATATGCCGACGTCGTTAGTGCAAACATTATCAACATCACAAGGACCAGCTGTATTAAAAGAAAATTCAACAGAGAAATTATCTCAAAGTAATCCCTCATCCCGACCAATTACTATTCATACAACAAATGATAAACCATTAATTAGTACTATAATTTCACAGTAGTTATTTCTGAGTATACAAATATTTATCATTTAGATTTTGACACGATATTTGATTCACCACTAACATCCAACAAACGTACACA